GCCCCCTTGGCGCCCCGGGGGGAGCGAAACTGACTTGGCCCAAGGCCACAGAAGCGAGTCGGAGGCAGAGCTGAGGCTAGAATCGGGAGCTCTGGGTTCCCAGGCTTGTGCTCAGTTAACCAAAGCCTGGTGCCTGGTTTCCTTGTCAGTTAATAGACCCCTGCGAGGAATTTGCTGCAGGATCACACTTGAGTCCCCATCCCTTCCTCCATCGACTCCCATTTAAAATGTCGGTAGGTGGGTCATTTCTAGCGATCTTGAGCTAAATGTCAGTGCAGGTCTCTGGATAAAAAAATGAAATCAGTCTGTGATCTGTTAGAGAAAATTCTGCTTGAGAACCCGGCTGCTGCTGTATCTCATTTTGTATGTTAGTTTCTTAGCTTCCAGTGAGTGCTGAAGTGCAGCAGCTCACGTCGTCTTTTCCTGCAGGAGTTTATGTGCTTGAGCCTGCCTGAACCATATGCTGCTCCTAGGTTTCCTTGACTCGTTTGTGTTGCCTGCACCACTGGTCTTGTGACACCTCAGGGGGTTATAGGACTACAGCCAGGGCCGGCTCCAGGTTTTTTGCCGCCCCAAGCGGCGGAAAAAAAAAAAGTCACGATCTGCAGCGGCAATTCGGTGGGAGGTCCTTCGCTCCCAGCGAGAGCGAGGGACCGTCCACCGAATTGCCGCTGAACAGCTGGGCCTGCCGTCCCACTCTGGAGTGGCCGCCCCAAGCACCTGCTTGGCAAGCTGGTGCCTGGAGCCGGCCCTGACTACAGCCTGGATCCAAGTCCCTATAGATAGTTACAGACATACAATATGTGTTTCTCTGGACTTGGCTCTAGCTACCAGGACGTATTAAAATATGAGATCAATTGAAAAATTCTTTAGCCCCAGCTTTAACGTTTTTAGCCAAACCCAAAGATTTTTGCTCCCAGTATAGAACAGAGTGGTCCTGGCAAAAACCATTTGAAGCAGAAACACGTGCAGGTTGGCAGACAGCTGAGGGATGGAAGGCTGATCCAAAAAGTGTCATTGACTGAGCATGGGGCTTACCTCAGAAGCTCTTGAATTTAAGGCTACGTCTATACTACGGGGGGAGGGATCGATTTCAGATACGTCGAATTCAGCTATGCTATTCCCGTAGCTGAATTTGCGTATCTGATCCGACTTACCCGCTGTGAGGACGGTGGCAAATCGACCGCCGCAGCTCCCCCGTCAATGGTGCTTACTCCTACCTGTGCTGGTGGAGTACACGTGTCGATTCGGGGATTGATTATTGCGTCCCGACGAGACGCAATAAATCGATCCCCGAGAGATCGATTTCTACCCGCCGGGTAGTGAAGACAAACCCTAATTCTAGTTCCTCTGAGCAAGTAATTTAACAGTACCTAGTATCAATTTCCACCTCTGTAAAATGGGGATAATACAAATTACACCTACATTGCAGAGATGGAGTGAAGATTAATTACAGTAGTTAATGGGTGACCAATGCTTTGAAGAGGTATAGTGCTATTTAAATGCTGAATATTATTTATTCTTACTGAATGCGTGTGGTTAATCAAGCTGAAATGGTCTCTGAAAGCTGAAAAGGACAGATTTTCTAGTGGTGTGTGCTGTGTGTGTAGTATATTGCAATAGAGTTTGTCACAGGATCAATCGCCTGTACTTTCAAACTAACTCTGGCTTTGTAACGTTTATTTTTCACTAACATTGAGGCTTCATTTCTGCATGAGAAGGAAATGGTTACCCGTAATGGAACACATTTCCATTGGTATCTCTTAAGCTAAATTCTTCAGAACGTTTATTCAAATGTTTTATATTGTTAAAACTGTCTCCAAGCAGAGAGTACCACGAACAGGCTGGGTGTACAGGAATGTAGAGAAACCAGAGAGTGTATCAGATCATATGTACAGGATGGCAGTCATGGCTTTGGTAACTGAAGATAAACAACTTAATAAAGACAGGTAAGAATACTAATGGTGATGATTAGGCCTGTCTGGAGATTTGGGAACTGAGAACTAATTATTCATTACACCCTGGCAAGGAGTTTTAGAATACAGAGGGGGAATCAAAATTGATATTTTTTCCATTCTTTCACAAGTTGCTATGTGCCTTCTGGAGTTGAGTTGTTTTATTAGTTAAAAGTGGAGGCTTGGACAGGCTGCTAACACAGAATAGTTCCAGCTTGATTTCTCTCAAGAGATGTACATAAGAAAGCTGAAGAATCCTGTTCAAAGAGGAGTTTGAAGTGCATGGTGAAGCAAAATCCATATTTTATGTAGCTTTTGACAGAGATTCTATTAACACTTGAGAGAAATTTAAAAAAATGTAATTAATTTAGCATATAAAGGAAAACATAATTAGCATTGTATCAGCTGTCAAGAGTGGTACAGTATCATATTTCCTTTGTCACCTTTCTGAATTGATGATAACAGACTTCTGTAACTTGGAACTCATCTTTTCTAATGAAGCTTCAGGAAGTATAAACCACTTTAAATCATGTTACTGACACTGACTCCTGCACTGCCCACCAGAATGGTCCATTGGCCTAGCAGAGAACATGCATGGCTCCTTTTTCAATGGATAACTCAGAAACACAAGGCCTGATTGTCTACTGCCTTATACGTTATGTAGTTATTGACATCAGTGAGAAGTGAGTATGAAAAGGTTATAAAACAATAGCATCAGAATGGTAGCATTTTAGATTTGCTTTGCACAGGTGTCAATAAATTTGAGGTGCAAGGCACTGTAGAATCAGGCCCAGAGAGTTGAATGACATGGCAGAAGTTCCATAGCTAATTTGTGGCAGAGGTGGAACAGATTCTTGATTTCCTCCTATGGGCTTGGGGAGAGCCAACAGGTGCAGAGGAGCACACAGTTTGGACAGAGGCATCCCTTAGGAGATGCTCTGTTAACGGGGACACTCTACATCCTAGTGAAGAGGAGAGGAGAGGATAGAAGTTGACAAAATACAGATAGGAACTGAAGAGAAACAAAGGGAAAAGTCCCATTCATCTCCACATGGAGGCAGACAACTACATACTGACAAATTTTATAAGTGCTTGTATACAAATTCTAGAAGTCTAAATACTAAGATGGGTGAACCTGAATGACTGGTATTAAATGAGGATATGGATATAATAGGCATCACAGAAACTTGCTAGAATGGAATGTGGTAATACCAGGGTACAAAATCTATAGGAATGGCAGAGTAGGTTGTGCTGGTGGGAGAGTGACACTATACGTGAAAGAAAGCATAGAGTCAAATATAGCTTAAATAATAAAAAAAAAGGTGAATCAAACTATACCATAGAAACTCTATGGATAGAAATTCCATGCTTGAATGACAAGAGTATAGCAGTAGGAATATACTATAGTAAAACCTCAGAGTTACTAGCTGACCAGTCAACCACACACCTCATTGGGAACCAGAAATATGCAATCAGGCAGCAGCAGAGACCAGAAAACCCCCCCCCCCCACCCAAATACAGTACAGTACTGTGTTAAACATAAATTACAAAAAAAGGGGGAGGAGGGAAGCAGCATTTTGCTTCTGAAGTAAAGCTTCAAAGTTGTATTACGTCAGTATTCAGTTGTAAACTCTTGAAAGAACAATCATAATGTTTTGTTCAGAGTTGTGAACATTTCAGAGTTACAAACAACCTCCATTCCTGAGGTGTTCGTAACTATAGGTTCTACCGTACCGACAACCTGACCAGGGTGGTAATAGTGATTGTGAAATGCTCAGGAAGATTAGAGAGGCTACAAAAACAGAAAATGTAACAATAATGGGGGATTTCAACTATCCCCATATCGATTGGGAACATGTCACCTCAGGATGGGATGCACAGATAAAATTTCTAGACACCAATAATGACTGCTTCTTGGAGCAGCTAGTCCTAGAACCCCCAAGGGGAAAGGCAATTCTTGATTTAGTTCTGAGTGGAGCACAGGATCTGGTCCAAGATGTGCAGTAATAGTGACCATAATGTAATTAAATTTAACAACCTGGGGGGGAGATATACCAAAGAAACCCACCACAGTAGCATTTAACTTCTAAGAGGAGAAGTACACCCAAAAATGAGGAAGCTACTTAAATGGAAATGTAAAGGAACAGTCACAAGAGTGAAATGCCTGCAAGCTGCATAGAAACTTTTAAAAAAATTTCTCAAACTAAATGTATTTTCCTGCCTCTCTTCTCCTGCCCCTCGCAACCCCCCAAAAAGCAAGAGGGCCAAAAAATTAAAAAAAAATAAAAAAAAAAAAAAGACCTCCATGGCTAAACAACAGAGTAAAAGAGGTGGTGAAACCAAAAGACATCTTTTAAAAACTGGAATTCAAACCTTACTGAGGAAAATAAAAAGGAGCATAAATTCTGGCCAGTCAAGTGTAAAAGTATAATTAAACAGGCCAAAACGAATATAAAGAGCAACTAGCTAAGGATACAAAAACTAATAGCAACATTTTTTTTTAAGTGCATCAAAAGCAGGAAGTCTGCCAATAACTGGGGCCACTGGATGACTGAGGGTACTAAAGGGGCTCAGGGAAGAGAAGGCCATTGGGGAGAAGCTAAATTAATTCTTTGCTTTGGTCTTCACTGCAGAGGATGTGAGGGAGATTGCTATTCTTTTTAGGTGATAAAATTGAGGACTGTCCCAGATTGAGGTGTCAATAGAGGAGGTTTTGGAACAAATTGATAAATTAAACAGTAATAAGTCACCAGGACCAGAAGGTATTCACCCAAGCGTTCTGAAGAAACTCCAATATGAAATTGCAGAACCACTAACTGTGGTATGTAACCCATCACTTAAATCAGCCTCTATACCACATGACTGGAGGATACCTAATATAAATGCTGATTCTTAAAAAAGGTTCCAGAAGTGATCCTGGCAATTACAAGCTGGTAAGCCTAATTTCAGTACCAGGCAAAAGAGATGACAAAGGGGGGATGTGATAGAGGTCTATAAAACCATGACTCGTGTGGAGAAAGTGAATAAGGAAGGTTTATTTACTCCTTCACATAACACAAGAACCAGGGAGTCGCCCAATGAAATTAATAGGCAGCAGATTTAAAACAAACATAAAAAAGTATTACTTTGCTCAACTCACACTCAGCCTGTGGAACTCATTGCCAGGGAATGTTTTGAAGGTCAAAACTATAACTGGGTTCAAAAAAGAATTAGATAAGTTCATGGAGGATAAGTCCATCAATGGCTTTTAGCCAAGATCATCAGGGATGCAACTTCATGCTCTGGGTCTCCCTAAGCCTCTGACTGCCAGAAGTTGGGACTGGATGCACTTAATAATTGCCCTGTTCTATTATCATGCTCAGCACAGTAGTATCTTAGTGCCTTCAAGTAAGTGTGTTAAGCAACATTACTAACATCTGTCACATGTTTTTCTTCTCGTTCTTTCCTGGGGGGAAGTGCGTGCAGTGAAGTGTTTTAAAAAATAAAATATACATTTTTTTTCTCCCTCCTCTTCCTCCACCTCCTGGCCCCGCTCCCACTATAGGTATATGCTAGAGAAGGCAAAGTGGGGAAAAAAATGTGCCTTGCATGTAGATCGGAAGGTGGTGAGGTGTGTGATGGTTCTTAGATTCTGGGGGAGTTCATTCCACAGTCTTGGGCAGGACCCTGAGAAGCTGTCTCCTGCATGAGCAAGCTTCACCCTTATTTCATTGTGCCAGAGGAATGAATGAACTTGAAGCCAACTGAAAAATCAGACTAATAATACTTACCCACCATTGTAAAGTGCTTTGAGATCTACAGGATGTGCTCAGAGCACAAAGCATCATTGACAGCCACATTTTTTTGGATGAGGTTGCTACGGCACAGAGAGGTTCACTGACTTAGCTGGAAGCCTGTGAGCCCTAGTGCGTTACATAGATCTGCATTCTAGTCTTGCAATTTGCACTTAATTTGCTGATTGCTTTTAATGCTTTTTACTGCACTCTGTTAAAGAAGGCTGGGCTGTGCCACCATGAGTTGCTAACTTAGCTACATAATATATGTGTATTTTGTCAGGTGGCATTTTGAATTTGGCAGGGCTCCTTATATCTTTAAATGCAAACATTGTTATCATGTGAGTAGTGTATAATGGATAATGTCCTTAGCTTTTATGCGGTAGGGATTGGTAAATGATATGCTAGGTAACTACACTGTTGTCACTTAGTATCTTTTGCTCCCCCAACAAGGCTTTCTGGTTTTGGATATCTATCCAGATATCTTTTCATACATAACAGTAACTAGAAATTGGGATTCAAATATACTATGGGATGGAAAATTATTTCAGTAATACTGATCTGTTATAATATAAGGGGGAGGGAGAGTTTATCAATACTGCTTATTAATAAACAAAGTGTAACTATAAAGTTTATTGGCTAATCATGCAGTGTTTCTCTCCTTATCAGATGTGTACGGCTAGCTCTGGTTCACGATATGGCTGAATGCATTGTTGGAGATATAGCACCTGCAGATAACATCTCCAAAGAGGAGAAACATCAGCGAGAGGAGGTTGGTATGGTTGCAGATGCAGCCTGGTACTCTGTAGAACTTTGTAAAGGCTTTGCACTTTATTTGTAGAGGTGAACAACTAGTTATTGGGGAGACCCTCAAAACAACATAATACAGAACATGAATTTGTGCATGTATGCCACGGAGTAGCACTAAAAAACCCTGCTAATTTGGCTTGTCTACATAACACTACAAAGTGCAGGATAATAAAAGGGAAGTTTTTTGAAAGAACCCAAACATCAGCCACCTGCCAAATGAATTGACTGGATTTTCAGTAGTCTGAGATGTTAGTGAAGTTGCTCATGTATGTCCATGCTTATTTTCTGGGGAGTAGAGGCACAGGTCAGAAGAGAGAGGGACAGATAGTTAATACTTGACACATGGCACTAGACCAGTGGTTTTGAAACTTTTTGTATTGTTGACCCCTTTCAAATAGCAAGCCTCTGAGTGTGACTGCCCCTTATAAATTAAAAATGAAGTGGGGGTAACAACCACCAGTTTGAGAATCTCTGCACTGGACACTTCCAAAGTATCATACAAACTTTACCTGATTATTCTTACAGTACGCCTGTGTGACAGGTAATCAGTGAGCCAGACAAACAAATGCAACTGTCTGAGTACATAGTCTTTGGCTTTAATGATGGGCACAAACATATCCATTAATCACAGTTTTGTCCTTTCTGGCTCTCTGTATTATTTAAAGCTAAAAGGGAAAAGTTTTCCTACAATTACAGCTAGAGGGCACCACCTTACTTAATAATCTTTTCCAAGGGATACAAATAAGTTGTTTAAAGAGTCTAAAAGAAAAACAAGCTTACAGTGAATTCTCTGCCACTCTTATGCTTACTGTTTTATTTAGATTTTTAAAAAAATAATTCTAGCAATATGTTCCTGGTGAAAAGAAGATTGGACTTAAAAGATTAAATGGCTATTCAGAGTTCTTTAAATGCTATCTTTATTCACTGTAACATTGACTGTTCTGTTCTATTATGTACCTGTTTGGAGTGTGCTCTTTTAAAAAAAATATATATATATATATAAATTGTTTCCCTAGTGCCTGCTGGGAATGTTTCTCCACTAAGTGCCAGACTAAGGGCATTTAGGTGCTTAAAGATGCAGGTAGGTGCCTAGTAGGAAAAGGGCCTAGGGGGGAGCTGTCTGCATCTTTAGGACACCAAATACCTATAAAAATCTGGCCCTACGTGCCTGTTGCTCCTCCTGGTCCCATTAAAGCAAACAGGAGTCTTGTCATTGATTTCTTCGGGTGCAGGATTGAGCCCTAAATATTTATACTTCTGAAGTGCTATCTTTGTATAAAATAACACCTTGAGTGGTAAGTTTCGACATAACTGTATATTGGCATAAAACTTGGCCTTGCTTTTATTATTGTTTGTTTCCAATTAGGACCCAAGTATTACTGGGGAACAGAGTAGGACTAGAATGAAATTGATTAGTTGGAACAACATGCAAAGAGGATTCCACTGTTCATACCAATAATTTGGTATTGCATCAAAACAGTGTTAAACAATATCTGGTACCTGGGGTCAGTGGATGGTGCTTCAGATTATTTTCTGCTGCTTGAGGCTAGTCCTCTGCAATTTATTGAGCAGGTCTGGGGTGCAGAAGCTATTCTGTAGCCGTTGCTTTTATTGTTTCATTAGCAGAGTTAGTACTGTACGTGTGCAGCTGTGGAGAGAGAGATGATTCACTGTTTATACAAAGGTGGTGGTGGACAAATTGTTTTCCAGAAAACAAAGGAAAAGATATTGTACTCAGATAATGGCCAAATGAAAGCAGGAGTCTGTCTTTCAGGCAGCTATGAAACATTTGACCCAGCTGCTATCAGAAGGCCTGAGAAAAGAAATCTATGAACTCTGGGAAGTAAGTATAAATCACTTGATGCATTTATTCCACATTATTGCTGATAACAGGACCAACCAATTGTCTTATTTTCATGGTGTTTGGTGCTTAGTGACGTTCATAATCTTTTTCTAAAATCTTTAGAGCAAGATGGGTTTGGAATTTTTCTTTGGGGGTACGTTTGTATGGCAGCAACTTTCTGAACTCTTTTTCATAAAGGAAACAAAATAATTCGGTATAATGACCCAAATTGTGCTCTTATACCTGTGTAGCCCCACTGCATTCTAGGGATTGATTTACATAACGGTGGGATTTGGCCCAGTATGTGTATTTACCTGGTCAGACAGTGCTGTTCCATAAGCAACATAACCTTAAAAAGGACTATGGTTTTAACTTCCACAATGTCTTAAATGAGAATTTCAACTAAATGAAATATGAATTGGGAAGTAATACAGTGAAATAATAGGTGGTATTTGAATTAAATTTGAAAAATGATCATGTTGACCTGAAAATATCTTATCTTTATACTAGAGAATCTGTTATACATACAGAGGTGATGTTAGAATATTGTGATCTTGCATTAACTGTAAGTCAGGAAACATTAGGCTGCTTTCCCCCAAAAATTTGTGTTGGGGGGGGGGGAAAGCTATTATTTCCCCCAACATATGTTTCCATTATATAGTAATTTTCCCTCACCAATTGTCTGCTTTTGTATATTTTATTGTAAGCAGGTAGGTGTGCAGTCCTTGACCTCTGTAACCTGAGGCTGCATTTAATACTGATATTCTTCCTGTTCCACTTGAATTGTATTTAAATAGGTTTCCAGATATTTGAAGATAAATTCTGCCCACAGTTATATCTCCATTGATTTTAATTGGGTTGTATTGGATTAAGTGACAGCAGAACTGGATTTTCAAAGTTACATTCCAAGGTTAAAATAATGAATTATGGAATACTATAGTGTATTCATAAAATTAGCCCTTTCCTTTAGCCTTTTTCACTGGAAAACTCCTCTAGCAAACAGGCAGGAAGTCATTTCAGACAGAGTTGAACTATACCATGGGATTTCTCACATACTTTTTGGCCTTGGGCTCCTGTCCCAACTTGTACAGGAGCTGATTCCCCATCCCCACCTCACCTAACTACAGCACACATTAGCTTTTTACCTTTCTCATTAGATATCATTTCTCATATGCACATTTTGTAGTTCATATTGTTATTTGTATCATTTATTTTTGTTTCTACCTTCAGGGTAACCTAATCAGCATTTGGTTTCATGCATAGGGGTATCAGTGTACCACACTGAAAATATACACAAACCTTAGCCTTCACTGCTGCTAAGCAGCTAGTTCTGTTTAAAAAAAAAAAATCTTTGAAATATTCAATCAAAAATCTACTCTGTTATACAAAGGCAATACCATTGACTTCAGTGTTCCCTGTGGAAAGTGAGAATGAATTAGGACAGGGTTTGTGGAAGATCCTCCCACAGCTTTGACAGTACAGCTGGTTCCTGACTTGTGACATCCTCATTAGCTTGGTCCTTGAGCCGACCGTCACTTGTTTCCATTTGTGCCAACCGGATGGATGGTTTTGAAGTGTGAAGAAAGAGGTACCAGAAGGAGACCACCAAAGCTGTTTTCACTTTGTAACCTAATTTAGGACGTGAATTTAACTCACTGGAGGCAAATGAGGACATTAGCACACTGAGTTACTTCCCTCTTTCCCCACTAGTTTTAATTTTTAATGTCTACAACTACAATAGTCATAATTTAAGTCAATAACTTCTATTCTGTGATGTCTGAGAAACCAATTACTTCCTGTTAAAAGTATAGGGAAATTCAAATACTCACGTGGAGACACTGTACATGTAATTACAATATGGTACAGTGCTTCATTAGAGTAAACTGACCTGCAATGTGAGCAGCCCCCATTGTACTATGTGCATGAGGAGGCAAGTATAAAATTATTCTCAATTGATCAATCTGTTACCCATGATTAATATATTGCACTGAGACAGACATTTCTGAGCAAGAAGACACCATGATAAAGTTATCATTTATGATACTGCCAAACAAAAGCGTGAAGTTTACCGACAGAATGGATAAAACGCAGAATATAAAATAATAGGATTAAATAGATTCACGAAAATAAGAGGCAGCGTTGAACAGCATTTTAAATATAAATGTGAATTGAAGAAAAGCCCTAGTCTTAAAAAATAAAAATAAAATAAGTGGGGTGGGGGGATATAAAAATGTTAAAATGAAGACTTCAAGTCAACTAATAATTAAAGCTTAATTGAAATTTCAAAATGTAATTTGAATTCAAATTGATTCTTACACTAGTATTTCACTGCTGTCAAAATCCAGATCCCCGATTTTGAACCTAGAGCAAAGAACATAATAAATGAGCAGAATATGTCACACATCCAGTTAAGCATGACAAGTTCATTATCTGAACACAAATGTGCTGGAATTACAAATTAGGATCTTGCCATTAGGCATGACAGCTCCACTATTGTCTTGTTAGAGGCAGGAGGTAATGTATATTAATCAGTGTTCATGCTTCCCACATCATGGGAACTAGAAGTTCTGTTTTAAGGGCTGTAAGTTCCAACGGTAGCCCAGTTTCCTCTTTGTTTGTTTCACGGCCCTGCCCAAATAGGCACCTGTTCTCTGGTTAGTAGGTGAAATTCTGCTTTCACTTGTGCACAGTTCTCCTCAAAATCAGTGGGAGTTGTTGCATGCAACTGAGAGGGGGAGGAAATAACAAGGAAATCAAAGGACTTAAAAGGAAAAAATAGGAAGAGATACAAAGACATTAGCAGCTCAGACAGATTAAGCTAAAATGATCAAGAAGGAATGACAGATTTAAAAAATACCTTTTGAGAACAATGACAAATACAAGTAGCAGGATAGCAAAATGGAGGAACTAGAACCACTGGTGCAGGAAGTGGACCCATATATTATAAGGATAACAGAAACCTCATGAAATCGTAGTAATGACTGGAGTACAGTTATTGAAGAGTATTTGCTGTTCAGGAAAGACAGAAGTAAAGGTGGTGGAGTGTAATGATGAGGTAGACTGTAAAGAAATTAAAAGTGATGGAATGGATAAAAGGGTCTGTTTGGGTCAAAATCACTGGGGAAGAAGGCTCCTCTGGGCTAATGCTTAGGATATCTTACAGACCCTCAAGATCTGATTTGTCTATGGATAGAGATCTCTAATGTTTTAATGAAATAAATACTACTGGAAGTCTTATAATTGTGGGAGACTTTATTTCCCAGCAATAGCTTGGAGGGCAAGTGCTACTGACAATGGTAGGGCCCAGATTTTCCTGCATGTGATAGGTGACAGATTTCTTCACCAGATAGTCACTGAACCAACAAGAGGTGATGCCATTTTAGATTCAACCTCATAGAAGAACTGGTTGTAGGGAATAATCTTGGTCTAAGTGATCCTGAGCTAATTCAATTTAAACTAAATGGAAGGATAAACAAAAATAGGTCTGCAACTAGGTTCCCTGATTTCAAAAGGGCAAACTTCAAAAAATTAAGGGCACTAGTTCGGGAAGTGGACTGGACTGAAGAACTCAAGGATCTGAAAGTGGAGGAGGCAAGGAATTACATTGTCAAAGTTCCAGAAGCTCTCTGAAGCCTGCATCCCAAGGATTTTTAATGAATCTAAATTCTGGGGTTTCTTTATATGAGCTCAGATTCAGCAAAGCATTGCAGCATGTGAATAATAATATACCTACTTAGTAAAGCACACAAACGTGTTAAGTCTCGTGGAACTTAAGCATGTGCTGAAATGTTTTGCTGAATCAGAGCCTTAAAAAGACATGAGGTCTACTGTATTCTTGAATATCTGTGATACAGATGAAGAAATTCGAAGTGTAAAAAAGGCCTTTTAGTTCTGGCACTGTGTGTTCCAGCATAGCGAATCAAATCTCTCTAATTGCACATCTGTTCAGGAATATGAACACCAGTCTACAGCAGAAGCCAGATTTGTAAAAGAGCTGGATCAGTGTGAGATGATACTCCAAGCATCTGAGTATGAAGAGTTGGAAAAAATGCCTGGAAGACTGCAGGACTTTTATGATTCAACTTCAGGTATGAAATTTGATTTTTGTAAATGAGAGAGAGGAGTCTGTGAATCCCAGTGGGGCATGATTCTTGGATTTAAAGTGGCAGTTAGCGGCTTATGTCATTTGTGTCAATCTAGCCCTCAGTCTCTGTAAAGCGGCCTGAAAGTGGGGATAAACTACATATACACATTTAAAGTCTCTTTACAGTGTGAAATAGTCTTAATGTAAATGAGAATCAAGCCTAGTGAACAGGTTGCTTCAGATGTGCTTGTATTGTGTTCAGTTCCCTTCTATAGTGTTTACTATTGTTCATTTTACTTAATCTCTGCAGGATAAGGGAAAATAGATACTTTTATATACAGAGTTTAACACTAATGAAGGGCTATGTTCAAAAAGAGAGAGAACTCAACGTGTTTTGAAAAATAAGAACACAAGAATAAAAGAACTGGCACTATATAGTTAGACACAGTGTCAGTGAGTCAGTATATAGAGGAGAACATCAGACTGAAGTATCTGAAAGTGTAAGTGGTAACTATATCCCTAGCTGCGATTTTATTAGTGTTCCTACTTCCAAACTCAGTGTTGTGAAACTGGAGATGCTACCCCTCACCAGCTAGATCAGCTTGATCTGGTGTTTCTCTTTCCAGAAATGAAATAGATTCTTATAGTCAAATATTCTGCCCAATCATCAGACAAGCTTTAATTTAAGCTTTTGCTGCCAAGCCTTTATCCAATGATTTAATTTTCTCTCCTGCCAGGGAAGCTTCAGAAAGGCTACATGCAGCCAGTTTTCTTGGCAACTGACCTGCATAACATACTATGAAACATGCCTGTTAACTTTTACACCTCATTATGGCTGCAGTTCAGAAAAGAAATCATGTATTTATGCCCATCACGATTCATAGGTTCTAGGACAAGAAGGGTAACATTACCCCTGGTAATTGTTCCAGTGATTGATTACCTTCTGTGTTAATAAATTATGCCTTATTACTAATCTGACTTTGTCTAGCTTAAACTTCTAACCACTGGATTTTGTTATACCATTTGCTGCTAGACTGAGGAGCCCATTGTCAAGTATTTGTTCTCTATATCGGTACTTAGATGACCAAGTCACCCCTTAACCTTCTCTTTGTTAAACTAAACAGATTGAGCTCCTTGAGTCTCACTATAAGGCAGGCTTTCCAATCCGTCAATCGTTGCTGTGGGTTTTCGCTCAACCTTTTCCAGCTCTTCTTGAACTGTGAGCACCAGTTCCAAATCCAGAGTATAACATGGAATTAATGCTCATTACCTGAACCTTAAGTTTAAATACCAGCCTGAATCAGGATCCATAGCATGAATTTTTAGACTCTTCCTCCCTCCAAATAGTATATACTCTAGATGAACAGTTGCTCTTCTTTGTAGCTATGGTTATTCCTGAAACATCACAGCTAGTGTTCACAATTAAACATATGTACTAATGGTTTCTTTTGTGATAGAATATGTAACAGATTATACTGTTGCTCCAGGCACAAATTATTATAAAGGGAAATAAGAGCATGATAATGAATTTTCTTTTTGTTTTACAGGAAAATTTAATCACCCAGAAGTAGTCCAACTTGTGTCTTCCATTAATACAGAAAGAAATAAAAAAATAGCTGCTACAGCAAGTGAGCCATGCACTTGATTGATTTTAAAGCTTCTGTAGCTAAAATAAAATATTTATTTTGCTGCTACAGCATCACTAATTTTTTCAGGAGTGGTTTTTTTTTCCATTAATTGCTGGGAATCCATGAAAAAAATATAGATAAGGGAAATTGGCATCCTATGATATCAAATGCAAAATTATCCTGAGATCAAACAGTGTAACTAGGGTTGTGTCTTTTTTTTAGTTTGATGCAACCTGTTAACTTGTATAGTCAATTGCTTGATCCAATTTTGTTCGTTATGAAATACAGTAGAACCTCAAAAATACAAACACCAGAGTTATGGACTGACTGGTCAACCGGACACCATGTGAAACTGGAAGTAACCAATCAGGCAGCAATGGAGACCCCAAAAAAAGGGCAAATATGGTACTATGGCCATACTGCATCTTCAAGGTAGCTGTGGGGAGCACCTACTCACAGGAGGAGTTGAAGACATTGAGATTCGCAGGCAAAGCTGAGAGCCCCTGCTGCCAGCTCAAGGCAGCAGGAGCAACATTGGGGTCTGCACTGATTTCACCAGCATCCACCATTCCCAGTCAGGAGGGGGACAAGCTGGCCCAGGCAAGACGTTGGAGCCAGAGCTATGACCAACCTCTATTCCCAAGGTGTCCGTAACTTGGAGGTTCTACTTCTACTGTATATGCAAGAGACCAAATAGCCAGTGTTAGTCCAATTTATGGAAAAAGGTTCCATATGATACCAGTCTCCAGGAAGCCATCTCATGTGGCATTGTTTCATTCACCTTACACAGGTATGCTCCCAAAGTTACACTCCAAATGCCAAGTAAAAAGTAATGTATAGGTCATCTAAAACTAGATTTAACCAATCTGCTTTGTTTTTCCAATAGCACTGGACATATGCATTCCAGGTACCAAAGGGCATGATGGCACCTCCTGGGTTTGTACTAGCATAGAATAATCATATGTCTTGTCCTTTTCCTTTAGGATAGTCCAGTACTGGTCTGTGAGAATAAGTCACTACCTGTTCCTATGGTAAAATGATCATATGTCCTGACCCTGACAACTTTTCTATCTACTTAAGCCAGGGGTGGGCAAACTTTTTCGGAATCCTGATGTTGCCCTCAGGCCAAACTGTATGGAGGGCCGGGTGGGGAAGGCTATGCGTCCCCAAACAACCTGGCCCTCACCCTCTCCCACTTCCCATATGGATGTCTCAATTGCCCACCACTTTAATAGTTAGGAAGAGAGACTGGGCATCAACGGTATGTTTACACACAAGTTTTTTGAGTATAAAAATGCCATTTTAGAATTCTTGCACACTGTGCAAGTAGCAGGTATAGTCCTATTTTAAATGGCTATAATAATAATCAGGTTTGTGTGTTTCTAACTATCAATGATGGGGAAAAATAAACCTGATTTCAGATAGCTTATATTAGCTATGGGGGTGCCCCAAACTATCCATCTGCAACTTTTTTTTTTGTATTTCCATTGTAATACAGTCTTGTTCTAATAGAATGTTACAAGGGGCATCTTGCTAATAAAAACACACAAGGCAGAGACGCTCATTTTAAAAACCTCATTTTAATAAAAATCACTAACTTCATTTACACAAACTATGTAATTGTTTTTAAAAATAAAATGAATGTTTATGCACAATGCTGCAACAGAAACTTGCAAATTGTCACCAAAAAATTAATTTGCTTTCTGTGTAACATTAAAATAAATCACATTAAAGAAACATTTGAGAGGTGTTCAGAATCAACTTGTCACATGGGAGAATTAAGTGTAAGACGTTAAAAACAAAAACAGAACCCCTGTAAAACCACTTTGATACAGGATTTTCCTGACAAGCTTTTAGCAAAACCTTGGATACAGAATGGCTAAAGTTGATTTGAAGCTTTGCAGTACGATAATTGAACAGGTCTATTTTAAAAGCAGGCTACATTCCTCTCTCTCTCCCCCTCCTCCTTCCCCCGCATTCATGTTTATACGTGATAGGCTTTTACTGCCACCAATGGCTGGCTGCACTATAATAACCTTACTGTTCCTTCTCTTAAAGTGATGCAACAAATCATGCTGCATCTAAGCTAAGAGATGATTCTGGCTTCTTGAAGATTGAATTATGCCCTGAAGTGCAATAAAGCAGGACAGTTTGATCCAGTCTGAAGCACGTACTCAGCCAGTCTACCATAAAATGTAAGGTTTATACTAAGTACTAGCTCTGGAGTGTAAACTAAAGGCATGGCACATCTTTATTAAGTTGTTGTACACAGATTCTCTCAAGGTTCTAACTCTAATGAGGCTCACACTATTCAGTCATATTAATCTGACCTTCTTTCTAAGGAGATGGTATGGAGGCAAACAGGTACAGTTTGTGTTTGTTGGTTTAATACTGAAATTGGGTCCCAGTATCAAACAGAACATGTTTTTCAACTGTAGCGTTTCCTGCTGTGGGACAGTAACTCAGTGGTCTCCAAACTTTTTTGATCGCGCACCCCCTGCCGAAGCAAAGCAAAAAAAAAAAAAGTGCGCTCCTCCTGCTGCGCACCCCCACTTTGGAGACCACTGCAGTAACTGATCAACTTAGTTTGCATCTGAACAATTGGGTTCCTCTTTAGGGGAGGAAATTCAAAGACAGGCTGTGGAAGTGAAAAAGGAAGAGAGACAGCAGTGTAACAACAAATGATTCTGTTTGACTCCTTAAGCAGCTCAGGTCATGTCTGTATGCTCGGTAAAGGGCACTAGTATAATTTGGTGGACAGCTGGTGTACAGACTATTGCTGGCAACGGAAATCCTTGCACAGTCCTAGACCCATCTGTCTGCTGTGGCACAGAGGGGTTACAGAATCGGTGGAAACATGCATACTAAAAACCCATTTAGTCCTTTAAATAAATAAAAAACAAAGAAATTATCAACTGGACCAGAGGTGTGGAGTGAATTGGAGGGAAAATACCATAAAGCAAGAACTGTTTGGTTACATTATAGAAATTGGAACATTAAGAAATGATGGTGTGCGCAATTTCTATGGAGTATAAAAATGCTTAATGGTAAAAATGGCCTAGTAAAAATACCAATACATTTGGAAGAATGACTATAGTATCACATGAGTGAGGCCATTTTCAAGAGGTTACAAAGCCACGTGTCTCAAGCTGGATGTGGAAAGAAAGCATAGAAAACATTAAGTCTCACCAGGTCGGATACAGATGGCCAGTAGGGGCTACAGTCTAACACTGAAGTTCCTCCTCGTTCTCAGGAAGCGGAGTGCCTGTGATAGAGCCCTGAGCACTGGCGTGGGCAGTAGAACTGAGAACTTCTTCAAAACTCCCCCCACTGTGGCTTGTCCCTCCAACCTTCGTCTGAAATATGGCAAATAAGGGAAGAAAACAGTGATTTTTCTCCTTCCATTCTGCTTATCCCCCCCCCCCCCAAAAAAAACCCTTCAATGTTTTGTTTTAAAAGAAAGTTGACTGACTTTTCTATGGAGATAGAGGAAGCAAATGTTCTCATACCCTGCAGCGTAGGTAGCACTTCAAAGCATACAATGGGCTTGTATTCAGAGCTTTTGATACTTTTGTTTTTTAACTACACAACATTCTAAATATCAAGGCTGAGCTTTTCAAAGCTGCCTACGGTATTTGGAAATTAAGTGCCCATTACATTAAATGGGAACTGAGCATCCAAATCATTTAGGTGGCTTTGAAAATTTAACCTTAGTATGGGTGTGTGTGTATGTTTTGTCTGTTCTATTTCTCTATAGGACTATATTTTTTCCTCCCTTGAATATGTTGAGTTGCAGCTCACTGCGTAGTTAAAGCAAGGGCTCTCTGATCAGAATAAGGTACCACTCAATGTAGGTAATGGTGGCAGAATTGGGCAGTGAATAGATGTTACCCATTGAAGTCAATAGAATCAATTTGATAACTGGAGAAAACAATTAAAACTGGGTTAAGGGCCTTTAAAAAAAATCAGATCCAAGTTCCTTTAAATTTGCTTTCTGTATAAAATAAGTCCTATGAATGAGGCACCTGAGGGAAGTGCCCAACATCAACCTGTCTCCAGGGACATGGATTATGGAGAAATAGTGAGTATAACAACTAAAAATAACTAACTAAGCTAAAATCTTGTCAGGAAAATATTGCTTCAAAGCAGTTTTATACAAAGGCTAGGATGTTTAATCTGTAAATAAAGCTTTGGCAAACTATAGCACATTTGTCCCCCTCACCCAAGCATTTGTCCTCCGCTGGACAAACAGCAGATTTAGATTTAATTAAAGAAGGACTTTCATAAGAGCTGCTTTGAATTAACAGGAGAGTGTCCCTTAGTTCTGGCCTGGGCATCACTTCTGCAAGTAGATTCAGGTCTGTGGATAGAGCAGGATATTTTCCCTCCCCTTCCACAGCTGAAGGTGAGAGATAAAAGCTGCTTTACTGGATTCCCCTAGCTGAGATCCAGTGTGTAGTTCATAGAACCATAGGTTTAGAAAGGACCACAAGTGTCATCTAGTCAAACCCCTCTGGATCCTTTCTAGTTTCTCTACATCCTTCCAAAATGCAGGCCTTTTCCAGACTCTCAGCCAAGTGAATGCTTAGGAAAATGATCATAATTAAATGGACTGTGTCCTTTGTCTCCAAAGGGTTAATCCCATGTAATCCTTTGTTTCATTTGCTGATACATGATGAAGAGCAGGATCAGCTTGTCTAGTTTGAGAGAGCTATAAAATGAAGTAACAGGATTGTAAGTACCTTGCCCTGAACAATACAGGCCCCAGATGGAAAATCTGTCTGAATTCTAGGAGAGTTTACAAAACATTCCCTCTTTATTGATATTTGCAAATGGTAATAGATGAGATATAAAAAAAAAAGTTGGCTCACTATAGATATGGAGACATATTATGAACAGGAAGCAGCTGCTCTATGATTAAGACTACAACCGAGTTTCCATTATAAGCCTTATTTTGGACCCACTTCTGAAATCCACAAGTCATGTTAGCCTGAGATCTAGGACTGATGTAGAATTTTTCAGCAAAATTTTAAGCAACTCAGACAATAGGGCACTTGAATTTGGACACCCTAAAAACACAACTGTTAAATATATTTACAATTATTTTATTTTTTTTGTCCACTCTGTAGCTAAAAAACAGAAATAAGGTGAAAGATAAAATCTGCTTTACTGGATTCCCCTAGCTGAGATCCAGTGTGTAGTTCATAGAACCATAGGTTTAGAAAGGACCACAAGTGTCATCTAATCTAACCCCTCTGGATCCTTTCCAGTTTCTCCACATCCTTTTTATACATTGGTGACCAAAATTGGACAGTACTCCAGTTGAGGCCTAACTAGCACCGCATACAGTGGTTCTGTTGCCTGCGATTTGCATGCTATTCCTCTGTTAATGCAACCTAAAGCTTCATTTGCCTTTTTTTTTTTTGCAAAACCATTGCATTGTTCAGGTTGTGATCTACCATAACTCCCAGATTCTTCTCAGCAGTGCTGCTGCCAAGCCAATTATCCCCCAGTCTGTATTTGTACGTTTAGTTTTTCTTCCCAAGTATAGCACCTTACATTTGTGGCTGTTGAATTTCATTTTGTTGTCTATAGTCCAGTTCTCCAATTTCTCAAGATCCCTTTGAATTTTAGCTCTGTCCTCCAAAGTGTTGGCAACTTGCCCCTCCCCGCACTGCTTTGTCATCTGCAAATTCTGATTGATTTTCAAAGGAGCTCCAGGGAGTTAGATGCCCAGCTCCTATTGATTTTCAATGACAGTTGGGCAATAACTCTCAGGCCCCTTTGTCCTGCTTAATGTCCAATTTCAAGCTTATTAAAATTTGATTTAGTGCAGGGGTCGGCAACGTTCGGCACGCGGCTCGCCAGGGTAAGCACCCTGGTGGGCTGGGCCAGTTTTATTTACCTGCTGACGTGGCAGGTTCGGCCGATCGCGGCCGCCACTGGCCGCGGTTCGCCGTCCCGGGCCAATGGGGGCGGCGAGAAGCGGGCGGCACGGGTGAGCGATGGGCTGGCCGCGGCTCATTAGGTCACTGTAACTGCTCTCCTCCAGACCCACTCCCTGGAAAATCTGCTGCTGTTGAAAGTAGAGGAGCTCTACTCTTGCAGACCTTAGGTTATCTGAAGATGTATGGGAAAAGAGGCACTTGATACAGCTATCACCACCACCCTCATCACTATGGTGCTGAAAAATCATGGCTCAGTTTTTTCCTCTTGTTCCTTTGTGCCAAGGGAGAAAAACAATGCTGAGATACAATGTGTTTGCCATGAGAGCTTGGCATTGACTTCAGTGTTGCTCTGGATACAGGAGCTGACCCATTACCTAGGACTCAGGGGTTAGGGGACCTCAATTGTGAGACTGAAGAGCTCCTAGATGGTGGTTTACTTGCACCCTCAGCACTCAACATGGGATGATTTAGCTAAGGCCCTGTTTGCCTACTTGTTCCAAACTCAGCAGAATGAGATCAAGCTCTCAGTGTCTGTTCCTCAGGCAGAGCAGTGTCAGAGGATGATGCCTTCGGAACTGCCTTTAAGAAGTGAGCTGAGATGGCTTGCCTGCATTCGTTTGGTGTAGTTGACACACTAGACCCTGGCTGAAGCAGACCCTGAATATATTTGACAGTGATGGAGCAGCAGGAGGTGCACAGCTTTCGATCAGTAGACTTGGCTGTGGCCATCTTAGGTAGGCCCTCAACATTGCAGGAATGGCTTAGTGGAGCCTTAACAATGGCTTAGTGGAGCATAAATACTGAACAGGGCTAAAAAGCGTAACTGTCGCTCTGGTAACTACCCTCACTATAAGCACATAATTATGTACAAAACCCACTAATCTTTCTTGATGGATAAAGGAGACTGACATATCCCATCTCCTAGAACTGGAAGGGACCTTGAAAGGTCATCAAGTCCAGCCCCCTGCCTTCACTAGCAGGACCAAGTACTGATTTTGCCCCAGATCCCCAAGTAGCCCCCTCAAGGATTGAACTCACAACCCTGGGTTTAGCAGGCCAATGCTCAAACCATTGAGCTATCCCTCCCCCGACATGAGAACAATGGAGACCCCATAGGATCCTGCTATGGCCTTTGGTCATCACGGGGGCCTATGTGATGGTTGCACCTCCTTGTACAAGTGTGTATGCTAGGAGCAGTGCTTAATTTGTGCCAGGGCTAAGCCCTGGCACCTCTAGGCTTGGCAGTTCAGAGCCCTAGTACCTCTAGGCTTGCTGCATCAGTTCTGAATGTAAAAAAATTACTTGAGCCCCTGCAATTAATTGCTTGAAAATAATTAATTTTCATTGCAAATTAAGCATAGGATGGGGGAGGATAAAGATTAAGTAGGGTGTGCACACAGCCCCAACAGACAGCAAGGTTTCTTTTGGGTGATGGTGGCAGTTGAGCATAGAGAGATAAGTGAAAGTGTAGTAGGAGGTGGAAGGATACCTAAGGCACTGGACTAGGACCCTGGAGATCTGGGTTCAGTTCCCAGGACTGGCCTTGTGTATATTAGCTTCCTACTGGTAGAGTGAGGCTTCAGTGCAGGTAAATTCAATAATCCAATATAGTGATGTATTGGCCATAAAAAAAACCTATAACCATAGTACTTTGTATCTTTCAGATGTTCAAATGACAGAACAGCTCTAAGAATTTATTGATGGAAGTGTTGGTTCTGGAGCACTCAAGGCCAAGTCCAGCCCTCCATTAACTAGGAGTTACACCCTCTTCCTCCAGGTCTGGACTGGAAATTTCTCTGCTATAACATTTCAATCATGGTGTCCATGAGACTAGATTTCCCTATATACTTGCAGCCTTGAGTTTTAGTTGTAATTTGTATTTGGGTAATAAAGCCATCTTCTTACTAACCTAAGGATATTTACCTGAGAGTGTCATAACAGACACTGGCACTCATGCAACAAACATTGTCAGTTCTTCTCAAGGCTGAAGGTTGATGAATATAGCTCTAGTCAGCACAAAGAAAGAATGCACTTTGTGATCCAACTGAATCTTTACACCACACTGAACCAAGCAGCATTTTTTATGCACACATCTTCATCAGAAGAACGAGATGGCTTGGAAGATGGCCTCTCTGCTCACCCTCCACACGGTGTAAAGGCTAGCTCCTTCTAAATGTGCCATGCTCTGCTCTGTTAATGTGGTAACACCAAAAGGTGCTACTGCCTCATGTCTGATATATCAACTGTTAATCATCGGGGTAGCTCAAGGTTGTCATACTTTACCTTTCCTTCAGTACAAAAACTTTTACACAGTTTTGAGGCAATCCAGAGGAAAGATTGACATTAACTGGGAAGTTAGTACTTGACATTTTAAAGAACGATTCAAAAAACTCTGGGCCAGATCCAACGCTGGTGTAAATCAGCATAGATCCATCCGTCAGTTTGCACCAGCTAAGCACCCGACCCTCACTGTTTCAATGGGGCATTGGTTGAGACTGTTTATTTAAGCTGACAGACAATCTAGTTTGTTACTTGGCATTCAAGAAGCAAAGAAAGAATATTTCTCTGCATATTGCCTTCCTTTTCTTTCATTGCACTACAGCTCCACTAAATCCTTCATGGAAGGATGCAATCCAATCTGCCTTTGATACAAATGACAGTGATGACTAAGCTGTCACTTTAACAAGCACAGCCACATAACCCAGCTCCTAATCATTACCTTCAGGCTTGTGACAGTGGTCTCAACCTTCTCTTCAAACGATTTGAAAGTTGGAGAATTCCTAGGAGGAAAAACATGATAAAAGAAGAGAGTCAGTTCTGAACCTAATTGTGTACAGTAACGGCACGGTTTATTTGTCCAATTTCTGCTAGACAATGATCCCAGCACAGAGCGAGGACTGGTTGTCAGTATACAACCACACATTAATAGTGTGCTACTAGCAGACGCTTGTGCAGCTGTCATTCAAATCCAATTACACTAATCTGAGTAGTATTTTTTAAGCTACACACTTGCAAGAGCAGAATCTGTGTAATAATTTAAACTGAATATTTACTATTCTCTGACAGCTACTCTATGCTGTGATACATTTATAGTATCCTCCTAAGAGCCAAGGGACTGCTGGCCCTAATTCTGCATTTCCTTGATTTTATCCATTTGTTTTGCCCCACTGAAATAAACTGTGTCTGTGAATAGTAGGGAATTCAATGAAAATGACATTTTTTAAAAATATCCTTGTAATTTAGTGCCTGAACCTGCAAAGTGCTGAGTGCCTTCAATTCCCATTGCTTTCCAATGGGAACTGGAGATCTCGGCCTTTAGCAGGAGCAGGCCCTTGGGGCTAGAGACACAAAGAAGCTGAGCCATGGAAGCACTGAGCATTCTAGGAAATCACTGGGATTCACAAAGCTCGGGTCAGGCTCCTTGGCTTCCTCTACAATGAATGGAGACGGCCAGGCACCTCAAGGGGTTCACAAAAGCCAGCATGCTAGGAAGCTCCTTGCCTAAGCTAACCAATGGGAGATGCCAAACAGGTGTGTGCTAAACCCTGCCCCCTCTAGGAAAGAAGAACCTAAGTTCCAGCTGCAGAAAGGTGCCTCTTTCCGCTTGTGATTCACAGCGGCAACTGTCTCATAGGCACCTATGCCGTTTTGGCAATAAGCTGGAGGGAAGAGAGAAGGAGAACCGCCTTTCATAACTTTTGTGTAAGTTCGTTTGTGGGGGCCCAATCCAGTAGACAAGCGCTGAGCCTGCTCACCAGATCAGGGCCCGCAGGCGCGCTAGCAGAGGAATGCCCATTTCCCCTTGGTCCGTGCATCACTCCGGGTAGGGCGTCTGGACACCTGGCTGCAGCACGCATGCACACAGACAGAAACAGGCGCCTACGGAACTTTTAATAAACATGTAGGTGCTGACCAATTTTAGACACCTGCATGGTTTGGAAGCAGCTGAGCTGGGGTTTTCTGAATCCCAATGGGACCTGATTCTGTGATTTAGGCACCTAACGTGCCTAAGTGGCAGTAAGCCCTTAGCATGCATCTATCTGCACCCAGTTCGGCCCCCTAACAAAATCAACTGACGTTCTATCTCTGACTCCAAAGAGGGTAGAAATGAGCCCTTTGAGTGCAAGTCATGGGTGTGAAAATATCTTAGAAGAAATAAAATGTACATCAGGGGTCTGATTTTTTTGTTCGGTTCAAGTGACAATCCTCTTGCCAGTCAGTCCGCCAACGGCAGCCTATTTTATTCAAAAACTGAATATAGCTTTTTTATTTTTTAAATGCTTTTGATTTTTAATATTGCCAGCGGAAAAGAAAATGTATCTATCACAATCATGCTGTGGGCATAAGATGTGATAAGCATATGCTCGGTCTTGAGGTGAGACCATGGATCACAGTAATCCCGGCAGGGGGATTAAGATGCTCCCTTGATCTCCTAGTTGGGCTACTCCCATCATGGTTACAGCAACATCCCTTGAGATGCTACTCCCTATCCATGCAGATAGGTGGGGTATAGGCAAGCAGGACTGGGGAGTGGGAAAAAACACGTTGGCCAGCACAGCTGAGCCAGGAGAAGTAATCCTGGAGAAGTAAGAGGATGGCACAGTCTCATGCCCTCACTCTCTGCTCCTAACTCCACAACTTAGCCATTAATTTACAGTGTTCTGATTTATTAATAATGACCCACTGTCTAGCAGACTCCTCTGACATCACTACTTTCCTGTGGGTACATATTGCCCTTCTTTTACTGTAAGAAGTGAAGAGGAGACATGGTCTATTGATCAGCTGATCCCTGTAAATCCAAACAATACCGAAGTAGATATCTGATCACGTATTTAGTCCTTAAGGTTTATTTTTTCATTTCTATTTATTGAAATTTGTCTAATAAAGATACTTAGAAACAAAAGGGTCAGATACTCCTCCCATTGACGTAATAGCACAGTTCCTAGATGCAGTGAAAATATTTAAATTTCACATTTGATAATATGGATCTATAAACATCCACTCCTCAAATTCTTCTCAGCTCCCTCTCATCTGTCTAACGGCACATAACAATACTTTAACAGTTAATAACTCAAAACCACCAAAGGGCCCAGTCTTGCAGCCCTTACTCAGATGAGTAATCCCATTGATTTAAACTAGCCTACTTATGCAAGTAAAAGCTGAAAGATCAGGACCAAGAAAAGCAAATCCCCAAATAAAGTATGTATGGTTTTACTTCAGCTTAGTGTATACAAATAATGTTGGCACATTACCTCATAGCAGGCATACTTATGGAATGGCGAATAGAGTAACTGCCACGTGAAAGCGCGAGAGAGGAAAGAGAAAAGACAGCACTATAAGCAACAGTTTGCAACATGATCAGCACACCGTATACATGGCAATTTATTTATTTTTAATTCAGAAGCGCTGGTACTGAGCTCCTGCTGCAAAGAGCTCTCCTCCTCACTTTGATCACAGATGTTCTGTGCCCCACCACCTCTGCAACTGATCAAGAGGCTGAATAGGGCTCAGAAGAACTGCACAGAGTATCTCCTGCTAGCAATCCAATAATGGAATCAAACCTTTTCAGTTCACAAAAGCAAGGCATGTGCAAGCTAATATCATGCAGAGGGGTATGAAAGTGCCTTTGTATTCCCCGTGAAGGGTAAACCCTGTAAAGAGCTCTGTAGGTGGTGAATAAATGAAATTCCAGGGTTTCATGGTGAACATAAAACTCTCTTTTATTTGAAATTAAGAATGGCTCCCAACTACATTTAAATATTCAGGCTAGGAGTACTTCATATACTGGAGGAGTATGTACTGTGCCAAAAATCCATTTATTGCTACTTTCACTATTGATTGACAGCCAAATCCTGGTCTTACTGAAGACAATGGGTGCTTTGCCTTGACTTAAATGGCACCAGGATTTGATTCTGATCAACTAAAGTGATTATAACAATTAAGACACAAAAGCATTCACATAAATTTTACATTATAATGTTCCTTATAAATTAGAAATGCACTTGTATAGTCTATCTATGAAATTGCTGTAAGTAGGGGGAGGAAATCACACACAAAATAAAAAATTAGACATGGAAAGATCTATTTGATTATATGAACCCATCTTCCTGCCAATGCAGGCATGTTCTCTATTGTATATTTTCTAGTCATCAGTCGAGACAAGATAGTTTAAAAACTAATAAACCGTAATACACCAATAACCATTCAGTAATAAATGCAAAACAAGGTTTTAACATTCAACTATTTCACACTGCTTTTAAACTTAAAAAAAGTACAAACCCTACAGCCCAAGCATTCCAAAAATGCAGTGGATCACGTTCTCTTTTCCTGAACCCCCTACTAATGCCTGCAACAATGAAACAAGCATATTTTCCACTTCGTTCTTGTGCCACGTAGGAAAGAAGCAGAAAACTGGAGGTATCTGAATAATTTAGAGCAGGCTGCTCATCTACTATCAGACACATACCAAATACAAGCTCTAAGCAAAAAGATTATTTAATCCAAAATGACATTAAAACAGGATTCAATTGGGAGGGGCCATGTGATGCATGACATGAGTATGAAGAAAATTTCCCCAGTTCCTCATACCAATGCAATTTTATTTTCTTTAAAGAAAAATAAGGAGAGTGTATTCTTGCCACTCCAAATTACTGAATTTATAGGATGAGAGAAGCTCTGGCCTAAAATGGTGACTAGGGCGGCTGTTAACATTACATGAAACACCTAAAAACTCTAGTGAGTTTATTAAGAAGGAGGGGCCTGTAAGGCTGTGGAAGCTTTAACCCGTTAGGTGCTCAGCAGAGTTTGGTGGAGAATGGTAATTGTGTTTCATGGAGAGTTTCAATATTTGGTTCCAGTCTGATTCAGAAACACTCCCCCCGCCCCAAATTTTGATATTTGCTGTGAAAGGGAACCCGACTCTACTGGGAGCCCTTTGAACATTTTGAACTTAAACACAATTTTATGTGCTTTGCAGGCTCAGCACCTGCTTATTTTTATTAGTTAGGGCCATGTTCTACCCTTGGATGTGTCTGCAGGACTCGTGCTGAAGGCAACAGGAGTTCCTCAGTATATCTTAGGGCAGGACTTGGGCATTTTTGTTTCACTTAAAAGGTGGTAATTAATCAGTGATATGACAGTTACAAAACTCTGCTGTCCAAACACAATTTGTACTGAGCTTTTGCCGTTTATGCTCCAACCTCTAAAAATAACAAGGGACAGTTGAGATAACCGAACTGTATGTAAATGGATGTGCCTGAGAGAAACATCTTTTGAACTCATTCGTTATGTGAATTTGAGTCTAATCTATCCAAGAATGTGGTAAACACCATTCTGAATCCAATCTGAAGGTCTTTTCACATACTCCAGTCATAACCCCTCTAGGTTCATCACACTGTAAAAATCAAGATGTTGTGGCTGATCTGGAATGTATTTTTATCTGGGAGAATAATGTTGAAAGGAAAGAGGGCACAGTGTTGAACAAGCCATATCAAAGTCAGCAGCAGTATTTATGAAGAGCAATACGCATCTTACCCAATCGAATGTGACCTAGGAGGGCAGCATAAAGAAAGAACAGCAAGAGTTAAGAGTTGGCATAGTATGAAGCAAAACATGGGTTAAAAAAAAAAAATCCAAACGATCTCCCATTAAAATGCCAAACCATCCTTGGGAGAAAAAGAAAATCATATGCATCAATTTCTTGACACTTGGAGAATGTGGATCAGTTGAAACTCCTTCAAATATACCTTCACCTACATAAACAATGTGTTACATAATCAAACAAATACTTGGCATGTACCAGAGTCTAGAGTATTAGTCCACTAAACCTTGTGCTGTCTCAGACGGTTTCATCTTAATTAAATCACTGTTTGAACAGACATTCTTGGGTTCAATGAGACAGCACAGTACAACACACTTACAGCCAACAAGACTGGGCTATAGGACATAATTTTTATTTAGGGGAAAAATTTAAATGAAAATAATAAATAATAATAATGAGCATTAATGTTAAGAAACATGTGTTTTCAGAATTGCCAGCCAGAACAGTGCTTAGGAAAACAGGAATATATCTGCCTAAGTAATAATTGTAATAATAATACTACTTTTTAAATGTTAATAAAATAAAATTAATTCTGCCAACACCCTTAAAAAAAAAAGAAGAAAAGAAAACTGCTCCATAAACTGCTATAATTCTTCCATGCTGATGCAGAATGTAAGTTCACATATCAATTAGTTGGGATATTACAGTCTATAATTAATGAATTTTCAAATGGAAAAGGGAAATGCTTGCCAGTTTCTGGTCAGTGGTCTTAAAAATCCAATGTACTACTCTAAATAATGCTGTACAACCAAAATAAAACCTGTGATGAAACAGCCTGCTATATACTAACAGAGACTTCTCAAATGATCTCAATTGAGTTTATGATTAGTGACATGGTTCAGTGCACGTTATTGGACTACATGGCTTGTTTCACTTTATGCAAGATTTTAAAGGAAGAACTCTACCATCCCATCAGTCCATACCCATGGATAGTATACAAACTAAGGGCTAGATTGCAATTTGGAGTACATACCCCTGGCATGGCACAAAGGGGAAGTAAAAGCATGCCTATGCTCCTACATGGGCTAGCCATATTGTGGGTTTGGGTGTGCTGGGAGAAGCAGCAGCATCTGCTACTCTTCTAGTTCACAGCAAAGGTCTGGGAAGTGGGCAGAACTTTGCCTGGCCTGGTCCTGGAGTGGTGGAACAACGTGCTACCTCTTGCTATGGGCTTTTTCCTTATGGCACAATCTAGTGCTAAGTGATACAGGGGCTAGATGCTACAAAGTACATAGAGTTTGTCAGCAGCAGGAATCAGCCACACTATGCCTTACAGCACTGAATGCACTGCATGTGCAATACAACAGTCTCACAATGCAATCCAGCATTGCCAGAAATATAGGCAGGACAATTAAAGACCACGTCATTCACTGTCACACAGAATGAAGCCAGGATAGTTAAAGATAACTCATATGACAAACCAACCACTGATGAGCTCATGGATTAGGGTGTATTATTGAACATGACTGCATGGGAGTTACTGACATGTGACATTAATGGATATGTGGATTAATGTCACATATCCTGACTCTGAGCTCTGGAGTCTCTTGCTGGCTGATTTAGTAAACAATCACTCTATAGAACTGGTTTGGTTGCCAACACCAGGACCTGCCCGCAGGATGCCTATAGTAGCAAGACACGTACCTACCTATCATGTATCTATGCAATAGGCACTATTAACACAGTCTGTTCTCCTGCACATTGGGGAGGTGGTGTGCATTACTGTTTCTATATCGCTTCTCTACTCTTCTGCAGTGTAACATTTGGACTCCTGACCTTGTACTGCCACAGGGACACAGGCACTGACTTATATTTTTCCTGGTGGGTGCTCCACCTCTGCTCTGCCCCCACTCCACCTCTTCCCGCCTTTTCTTTTACTGCCACACATGCTACATACTACACAATGTTGCCCTTCCTAGTGCTTTCTCTGAGAATTTAGCTTCTTGAGGACAATAATGGAACATGACCTGGGGAGAGCCTAGCACAAGCCTTGCTCCACTTTACATGCTATTTGGACTATTTTTGATATATGACTTTTTTGTATCAGGGGGTAGCCGTGTTAGTCTGTATCTACAAAACAAGGAGTCTGGTGGCACCTTAAAGACTAACAGATTTATTTGGGCATAAGCTTTCGTGGGTAAAAACCTCACTTCTCTATGCATCTGAAGAAGTGAGGTTTCTACCCACGCAAGCTTATGCCCAAATAAATCTGTTAGTCTTTAAGGTGCCACCAGACTCCTTGTTGACTTTTTTGTAAATACTGTCAGGGGTATCATGGTGGAATACTCTTTTGGATTATCTACTGGGACCCTACGTCTTCAGAAAAAAAAAAGGGCGGGGGGAGGGGAGACACGTGCTTCTGACAAGGTCATGGAAAATGATCAGTCCCGTTTTGGGCTCAGGAAGCCACTGGGAGGCATGTTCTGCTAATATGAGGCCATTTGTATCTGTGGTGCAGGAAACCACTCACTCAGCCAGATCCACACATGGAGAACAGTGACTTGAGAGACAAGGAGGGAAGAATTTGGAAAAAGTCATACCGTGCTGAGACCTGACCTTGCCTTGTACTGTAGAATCTCCAGTACTCTAGAATCTATCCCTAGGAGACTAACTTCAAACCAGTGCAAACCATAAGGAAAGGGATTTTGACTGGGAGATGCTGAGTAGATGGAATCTTCCCTATCTGTGACCAGGTGCCAGTGCAGAGACTGGCACAGTCACTCTACACCACTGTTCTAAATTCTAGATTATAATAGTGGCAAAGGGCTTGTCCATTATGCAGAGGGTGTGCCCAGATCCTGGCCATAAGTCTAACATGCCATAGCCCCACTCAGTAAAGCAGAGCTCAAGGGGTGCAGATTTCCCTCATGCAGCCTCTGGCCTCCCTTCTCTTCATGATGAAGAGCAGCAGTGGTTCTGGTGCTTGCTAAGCCTTGCTGTGCGGGGAGGGGACTGGGGCAGGAGTATCAGGATTTACCAAGCTTTCAAATGTAACAAATAAGTAGCAGAACAAAACAAAACAAAAACAAACAAACCCCCTTATTTGGCTGCAAAGAATTATGCACAGAACATTCGCAGCAAAACCTGCCTGCATTTGAAATACTTGTAAATTGGGTTAATAGTGCTATTTAACTATATTTGCTTTAGTCATGCATTGCTCAATTACGGCAAAAATATTTGTGCAATAATTTGCTGATTTCTCTATGAATTAAGGCTCTTATTCTGTGAGGCTGTAAGGGTCCATGTGGAGCCAATGGCAGGAGTGGAACATGAAATCTGGTTGCACTAGTCTACCAGCAATTATATTTTCTCAATGTAGTCTTGATTTCCCCATTGTACAGTGATTCCATTTTTAAAAATGAATCTATTTTGGAGTTTTCAATAGCGCTACTTATACCACTGATATACAGTAAGTGATTCAAAGTACAAGAGTATCTTGTACAGAGTTCTTCCCCCTGTAAATCTCAGTGCTGGTGAAGCGAGTTGCTATCAGATATTTAGCCTCTCTGCTCAATTCTATGATTTGCACACACATTTCTTTTGAGTTAGTCTACTAACTTTCCTTTTGAAAGTACGGAACAAGGCTTTTTGTGCTAGGACTTATCAAATCTAAAATGTTAAGAAATTTAGTGTCTGCAATATAGAAAAATACATCAGGACAAAAAGCCTATTAACTAAAAATGCTGGAGGAGAAATTCTGTGAGCCTACTCTTTTTTTTTTTAAACTTCATATTGTTTATAGTTTCTTCCTTTGTTCCTTTATTCTGAGAGATCCTAGTGAAATTAACATTTTTAAAGATACACTGTCAGGTAGCTAAAGCCCAACACTCAGCTGGTGTGTGAAAAGCACAGATCCTAACAATTTCTTAATAATATGTATTATTTTCAATTAAACTTCTTTGGATCTAAACAGTCCAGCAGTGTTTGCAACCAAAACTTTGCCGACTTGTGCTAGCCTGTGAAAACTGGAAAGTGAACCTGAAATCAAAGTCTGGTTTCTATACTGATTAAGCCCAATGAAATAAAATACTGTTTGCTTATTCTTTGTAATAGTCTTTGTTTTAAAAATCAAAGGTGCCACTAGTAATTCTTAACGGGACCGAGGACCAAGATGAGCAATATGAGGTTCTGCACTAGTGTCTGTCAGGCTAGGTGCCTTGTTGCCCTTCAGGGCTAGAAAGAAGAGTTTTAGATCAGTGGAAAGGGAAGAGTCCCAGAATCCCAATGGGTCAAACCATACTTGCTTCTCGCTCTGGAAAGGCCCAAGATATCAGATACACTTGGGATTCTTTCATTTTAATTCAGGCTAACATCTTGACCTTGCAAAGAGATCCATGTGCATGTGTGTGTCCTGCAGAGTGTCCCATTGAAGTCAACAGGACTCATGTGGAAGTAAGGGTTTGTACCTACACCTCTCTGCAGGCTCCATTTTTTTTTTAATTTACACCAGTGTATTTCTGGAGTGAGCTGATGAAAGTGTCCAAAATGTTTTTCAATTTATTTTCCCCCAAGAATAGTGCAGAGGCAGGCCTGTTTTCTTCGAAAAGAGGTCTGTCTCTAAAAATCCATTTATGAATAAAATTAGCTGCATTTTCCCCCACTTTTATCTATACACCTCCCTAGGTTTGCAAAGTTATTTAGAAAGGATTCCAAGTTGCAATACCTTTTCTTTCTACCAGGACTCATAACAGAAATACATCTTAATACACAATTTTTTCCTTTAGGCTGAAAAACGTACAGTATAAAATCACCACAATGAGCAGTATCAGTAGTAATACTTTAAACCCTAATTTAGAAAGAAAACCTGCCAAGTGTTCTTTTGTCTTTCTCCCTTCCCCCGAAATAAAACCAGAAGTAAATTTCTGTACCTCATATCTCCAAATTTCTTGCCAATGGCTGTTCCTACATTGCTGATAGCTGCTGTTGCCTTCTGTCCTGCATGGCTCAGAGTTTCATGTGTTTTCTTATAACTAGAAACAAAAGCAAAATAGTGGTAAGTCGTTCATGTAAAAAGAGAACAGATGCTCATCTGTGCTGCAATTCATTTTTATTCTCCATATTTCTAAATTTGAAAAACATTTCTACTAAGGGTTAAGAATTGAGATGGTTTGTCAGGTTAGGATGTGCAATGCATGCTTCTTACGTAGTTTTCCAAATGCAGGCTGGCCCTAATAGGACCATATTACCTTCCAGTGGAGTGAATCCCTCCCCGTGTTCCCTCAGAGAGCATATCCTTTGAGTGGGTTGGTGCAATCCATTTAAAAGTGAAATGCAGTCATTATGCACCTTAAATTCTGGAATATATTTTAATATAATGAAAATCAAAACAGTTTATAGAAATATCAGACACTATTTCACTAAATCCATCATTGTAAAGTGAGGGGGAAATTGTCCCTCAGGGCTGCTGATATTGTATTGATCTACATCCCAGCAAAAAGTCTGAAGATACAATGTGGGACTCAGAAAACAGATCTTCTGTTTGAGGGCATGGGAAAGCAAGCAATCTCAAAAGCTGTTGTAAATTGTACTACAACTTGACTTATAACCTATATTCCTGGACACATCATCAGAGCTGATCAAGTAACAAAAACAACTGAGTGAAATTTTAGCAATTTTTCTTGCATTTTTGGTCTAAATACAAAGTTCCTACAAAAAATCAATTTTTGAAAAATGTCAACCAATATTAATTATTAATATAATAGAAACCTATTGTAATAGAAACCTAGCCACAAAGCGGTTGCAATTTATAAAGACAAAGTGTGCCATAGCCAGTGAAAATCATCAGGGTGATGACCAGCACACACTATTTTCTTTTTATATTGTATATACTGTATATACTCTTTCATTAGCCTGTTCGTTTATAAGCCGACCTCCCAAGATGGTTAGGTAAAAATAGCAACAACTTTATGATGTTTTCATAAGCTGACCCTATATTTCAGGGGTTGGCAAACTTTGGCTCCCGGCCGTCAGGGTAAGCCGCTGGCGGGTTGGGACGTTTTGTTTACTTGGAGTGTCTGCAGGCACGCCACTTCCCACAGCTCCCATTGGCTGGCAACGGCTAACCGCGGCCACAGGGAGCTGAGGAGCTCCATGCCTGCAGACACTCCAGGTAAACAAAATGACAATGTATTAGATATTCAATTCAATGATTCCATAGAGTTTAAAATCATCAAATTTTGGTGTAGACCCGTTCATAAGCTGACCCCCACTCTTTGATGCGTCACTTTACCAAAAATATTCGGCTTATGAAGGAGTAATATATATATAAAATATATAAAAACTACCCTCAGTTGCTCCTATACACAGTCATTGTCTGTGCAATTTTTGTTTTTGTTATCTGCCACTATTAATATTGTAACCTGGTATTTAATCCTTGCATCTTACTTTTTAAATTTTAACTGTTGCTTGCTTAGGGCTTGATTCTGCTCCACTGAAGTAAACGGCGGTACATCATTGACTTCAATGGGAGTAGGCACAAACACTTATTGAATAGGAAAACTAGCTTAATTCTCTCAGTACTACTCTATCTCATTGGACTATCAAAGTAACAGCTTCACATTTGACTGTTTTAAATATATACATAAATATATTTAAAACACGCCCTAAAATGATTGACTTATCTTTTCAATTAGGTAAAGTAATGCCAATCTTTTGTGTTACACTTTGTTATTCGTTAACTACTGAAGGAAATAAAAATGTTCATAAGATGAAAAAAGGCTCCTGAAGAAATCTGGACAGCAAGTGCACATTCAAAGCAGTTCTGAAATCTTTCTGAAATCACTCATGTAATGTTTGGCACGTGTATTCAGATACACAATCTTCTTAATTCACACACTGCTGATTTATAGGACATGCTTTGACTTGTCATGCTTTCATTTCCCCTCAATACTGTTTAACCTATGAATTGTGAAACAGTTTATCATTCCACTTTTCTGCACTGACAGTTCTTTTGTTGAGCAGACAAGTTCTGATCACATTAAAGCCGCCCTCTCTAGGGTATAAATGACATTTTCAGTGAAGCAAAATGAACCCCGAATTAGGAATACTGACCTAACAAAATGAAAGCACTTGCAATAAATTACCTTATACTCTGACTATATTGCTGAAAAAGAACTTTAGAAATGAACATGAAAAAATATTATTTTGTTGGTCTTATTTATCCTTTCAGCACACGCAACAGAAAAACACACACCAGAGACCAGTTGGGAAACCTCATTGCCTAGTTCCTTCAGCAGAAAATTGTTTTCTTACTTCCCATATGTATGAAAATAATATAGCTTCGGTGGGTGGGGGAAATGGGGACAAAAAAGGGGAAATAAAAATTAAATAAAATGGCATTCACATTTACCATATAGTAGGTCATATATATTACCCTCATTACCTCCATGCTATGTCTTTTATAGCATATAATGATAAAAGAAGCAGAATTAAGGCTGCCAGGCAAACCTTGCTCTTTACTCCGGTAAAATCTCAAAATTGATTACCACATGGTTTCCCAGTGAACACACTTTGATTATATATACCCCATACCCCCTAAAGGCAAATGTTTGCCAGATGATTCAGCAGATGACAGCTCTAGAACTCCAATGCTCTGCTCCTGCTCTCAGTAAGTGACATTGCTAGAATGACTGCAAGTGCTGGAGAAAAGAGCGACTTGCAAAGGAAAGAACAAGGATTACGCCTGGTGGTGGTTTTCTGTTTGTTTGTTTTGTTTTTTGTTTTAAATGGTATGTAAAGAAGGCCCAAAAGTTAGTTTGTTATTTAAAAGGGTCTCGTCTCATCCCCCCTCCCGACTCCTGCTTGTTTTTCACCTTAGAAATAAAGAACATCACATTTTTTGGTTTGTGTCTTACATGTGTATTGTGAGCTCTCTCAGCACTGTATTGAAAGGAGGTGGGTGGGAATGCTGAATCTTTAACAAAGCAATCTTTTCTCCCAGCTGCATATTTGGATATTTGAGTTACGTAGGTGTTACCAAAAACATACAAAAGCCAGAGAGCTTTAAACATTTTTAGCAAGAACTACTTCCCCTCACATATCACATTTAACTGCGTGGCATCGCCAATACCATAATCTTCCCATTTATTTTATAAATATGCTGCTGATTATAGACAAATTCAGAAGCTACAACCCAAATTTATCAAATTCTCACACAACAATTGATTTGCATTTGTAGGGATTAGAGGTTATCCCAAACTGACTAGCCAAAAGCAACATGCAATTTGATGGCTCTTTTCAGTAGAGGTAAAATAAACTCCATTCTCTCTGCCATCAACTTACCTTGGTCTTAAATGATTACATTTTCCAACACTAAGCTCCATTCATCATGCCTGCATTTTTTATTTGCTCCAGTTCAGGAAAGCCATTAAGCACATGCTCAACTTTAAGCACGTGCACAGCGTTGTCCTAAATAGGG